TTATGCATCACAACGTAAACTAGACTCAGTTAAAATAATGAAACAACAAATATGATATACATCTAGAAATTAAACTAAGATTAGATTAAACAATAAATTTATACGCATGACAATACTAGTTCAAAATATGTACGCATGCATATAGTGCATATATGATTAATACAAAAAAGTACCAAACCGAATTATCATGCATCACTATTTTAATAGATGCAAAACCTATTTTACCGAATTCTAAAATAATGAATCATAATTAGAACATACTTCTAAGCATGCTATGGACATGGACAAATTAAAATCTAAACAATTTTGCACGATTTACATTGCACAAATATCATGTATAAACTTGCTAAGTGAAAACATAACACAATCAAATCCTAATCAAACTAAACTAATAACCAACAACTCGCTCCTAGCATCATAAAAATCTCCCTATGGTTTAGGTTTGGTTTTAGATCCCCGCAAACGTTGATGTAGTGGTCGATGAACTTCGGTGCATGTTGTTGTCGTCGATCTCCAGTAATGAGGTGGTCTGTGATGCTCCCGGTGGCGAGAGAACACCATGACACAAATGGACCAACAGACGGTCCACGGGTGATGGCGTCGTCGGTCCCGAATGATGCACTACTAGGGAAAACCCTATACACAGAAGCTTACTAGTAGCGATGGTCAAAAACATGCGCTACTACTATGTACCACTAGCGAATTGTGTACAAGATCACTATTACTATGTAAGTAGCAGTAGCGCATTCCACGCAAAAAGCGTTGCTACTATAACTGCCACACCGTTGCTGGCAGGCTAGGTATAGTAGTAGCACTGGTACGTGGACAAAGCTACTGCTATTGGTCTTAGCAGTAGCGCTCGTCCTGGAACGCGCTACTGCTATGCGGGACTTATCCCAAATATTCCTCCCCCGCGCCCCGACCATCTCCTTCTTCCCCTCACTCCCCGCTGCCTCGCTCCTCCTCCGCCGCCACATTGCCGTCGCCACCGCATCACCACTGCCGTCCTTGATATGCCCTCCTCCCTCCTCTCCCTCCTCCTCCCATCGCGCCCTCCTCCCTTCTCCAGCTGCTACCGATTTCTTTTTTAAATTAAAAAAAATTCAAACACACGGACACATAGGACCAGGTGGGCCAGATCTAAAACGGGTGCAGGCCCAAGTCGCTCGATGCTTTTGACAGGCAACCGGCATGAAAATATTAGAACCACCTTGAATATGTTTTAAATTCAAGCTGAAAGCGTAAAATCATGGAAAGAATCGTATTGTGACGGTGAACCCACGGAGTCAATCCGTGCTTTTTATTATTACTAGTACAAATGCCCGTGCGTTGCACAGGGCGATAAATGTGGCAGAACTTGCTTCATGGGTCCCTTTTTTGGCACTTTATATATCTAATTTAAATAAATTTTGAACGTGAAAATTCCTTGTTTTTATTAAGACCTAATATTTTCATTAAAAATGTAAAATCTTTTAAAGAGTAGTATAAAAAATTATGTAAATCGGCACATTTCTCTATGAAATATTTTTTATGTAAATTAATTATTTCTATTGTACATTTTGAAATGTTTTTTGTAGTTAGTAGTGTTTTTTGGGAGAATTTTTAAGTGTTTTTAAAAAGTACAAACATATTTAAAGAGTAGTTAATGTTTTTATAGAAATTTGAACATTTCAGTAAAAATATTTTTAATAGTTTTTAAAAATAATTTTCGTTTGTTTTACATTTGTAAATGTTTATTTGGGAAGTGTACATTTCTAAATGTTACATTTAAAAAAATTATATAGTGCAAACATTTTTTGAAACAAAAATAGTTTGAAACTGTGAACATTTCTAAGCTATATTTATTGTTTCGTGTGTTGCAACAGGTTTAAATAAATATGAGAGTTTGTTTGGTATTCGAGAGTTTACATGTCATGATGAATAATAATGTACCAATTAAATTGGTTGTAAGAGTTGTAATAATCCACTTTTTGAAGATCCCATTGTATTCCAAAAGCTTGTAATTTTGTTCTCTGCTGACAAAACCTACTCCTTCAAATTGCTCTAAAGAAATTGGATTATGTGTAATAAAATATATGATTGCCGAAAAGTTAATAGTTTATAATGGTTGTCAATCTTTTGTTGACACTTTGCATCCAGTAGTAGGAGCACACCCTCGACGGCAACATGACCACTACCCTGGACATTATCAACGGACCTCGATGGGGATCAAGATTAGGGTACACAGAGCTACAGATCCCCCAACCCAGTTGTTGTGCAGGGGGAAACATGACGCGAGCAGGATGCACCGTTGTCCACACATTATCTCCTCTTTGTCCCTCCCTCTCTCCTCCCTATATCACCAAGACATCGATGACATCCAGAGTTGAGGAATATCTTTATGGTCAGGAAGTAATGGTGAGCCCCAAATATTTTCTCCCTTAAGAAATACTATTTCTTTCCAACATTTCATTTAATTTAATTAATAGTATATCTGGTAATATATTCATAAGTTGTGATACACATGAATACTAAATTATGGCAGTAACAACAAACAATAGCAAATACTGGATGCTACATAATCGGGCCGGAAAATATATATAATCGATGCACGCACATAATGATTGTTCAGCCGGAAAAATATATAATCGGTGCATACACATAGCATCCAGCAGCATCCGCAGTTCCGCTCGGTGCAGCAACCAACAACATCCACTGACGCCCACACTGCGTGCCTCTTATCCATCCATACACAACACACATCACCATTCCTCCTCTTCTTCATCCACCCCTATCCAGCGCGCCCACGAACAACTTGGCCTCGCCTCCCCACTCTCCTGGAGTGCGTGCAGCCGTGGTGGTGGCTGGCCCAGGGTAGCAACCCACTGTCGGTGAGGAACCATAAGATCCCTGTGCCAGCAGCCTCGAATCTGGCCCGATTCGTACGTCCACGGCCTCCGCGACCTGCGAATGCCCCCTGGTCCGGCCTAGATCCCGCGCCGCTTCGTCTGTTCGTGTTGACCCCGAGGAGGCGTCCAACGCCTCGTCCCGCGGCCCACCTGCCTCGGCTAGGCCTGCGACGGCGGTGGTGGCGACGGGGCTGCTGCGGTTGGGGCAACAACCCTGTGCCGTGGTGGTGGAGCTCTCCGGTGGATGGCTGAAGGGACGGCTCGGTTGCTCGCCAGATCTGGCGGGCGTTGATTGGAGTTGAGATGGTGCGTCGCGTTCGTGATGGTGCGTTGCGTTCGTCGGCCAACTACGGCTGCATATGGGACTCCTGGCGGCAGGCCTGTGGCCGAGGCACGGGAGGTGATCTGGCGCAGCTAAGGCCTGCTGTGTGTCGTATCTGGCACAAAAGGTAAATTATTTGATGGAAGAAAGATTCTCAACACAGCTACGGAGTACATGTTATGGAAGAAATCGAGCTAGGTCTTTTTTTTTTGAGAAAAAGAGATGCAGGCCGGCAATGTACAAAACTTGAGCGCAAAGAACAAACAAACGATGGGCTGGAAGGCATGCAGCGGCAAAGAACATATGGGCTGCTTCGTTTGTAGGCTCAACAATTAGGACGTAAATTCACGGGAAACCGAAAATTACCTAAGCAAAAAATTAATACCACCTCGAATATGGGTTTTTTCGAAACTGAAAGTGTAAACTTATGGGAAGAAGCGTATTGTGACGGTGAACCCGGAGACCCAATCCGTGCTTTATGTATATATATATATATATATATATATATAAATAAAATATATTATATATAAATATATATTATAATAATATATATATATATATATTTATATTTATATATAATATTATATATATATATATATATATAGGGAGAGATTAGGGAGAGATTAAGGAAAGATTAGGGAGAGATTAGAGAAAGATTAGTTCCAAAAGACAAAAATATAGTTTTTCAGTCGCGGCTGCGTATTTTTGGTGTTGCTCTGATCATGGCCATGCAAAACTCGGTATCTTATATAACTATAGAGGAATATTCCCACGATTATCAAATATCAATAGCCGTGTCGACCCAGTCAACACTATTCAGGAGGTGATGGCTTAATTTCCATACAGATATTTGCAGATGTGTGATCACCAATTCACCATTCGTAGCGTGAGGTCTATATTCGTGAGGTGATCCGTTACTCGCTGAAGTGTTTGTCACGACAGGCAAGACGACCAGACGAACGACGCCTCCACGTCCCAAACAATCAGTCGCACTGCCTGTAAAATACTACTCCTCAAGAGCAATCCCTCTTCCTGGAGCCTGTAGCTATAGCGCTGCGCTTTCGCCATGCATCGCTCGGTTGCCAAGCTGCTCGCCTTGCTCGAGCTGCTTGGCGCGCGAGAGGGACGCATTGCTGGCCTTCAAGCAAGCCGCCAACGACACCTACGACGTCCTCGCCTCGTGGCAAAGACGGCACAAAGATTGTTGCCGGTGGTGGGGCGTCACCTGCAGCAAGGAAACCGGCCATGTGATCGAGCCTGACTTTGGTTACACCCTTTTGGACGGCAAGATAAGCCCTTCCCTGCTTTCTCTCGAGCATCTGGAGTACCTAAATCTCAACTCCACCAACCTACTTGGACCAGACGGTACTTCTTTGTTCCCAGAATTCTTGTGTTCTCTAAGCAACTTGAGGCATCTCGATCTCTCATGGACACTGTTCTCTGGTAGATTGCCTGCTCAGCTTGCCAACCTTTCAAATTTGGAGTACCTCGATCTCTCATATACACAGTTCTCTGGTAGATTGCCTGCTCAGCTTGCAAACCTTTCAAATTTGGAGTACCTCGATCTCTCATATACACAGTTCTCTGGTAGATTGCCTGCTCAGCTTGCAAACCTTTCAAATTTGGAGTATCTGGATCTCTCATTCACATCCCTGGACGGGTCTAATGGTTTCATTTCTTGTAAAAACTTGAGACATCTCGGTCTCAGAGCCACACCATTGTCTGGTAGACTACCTCCTCAGTTTTTCATCCTTTCAAAGTTGGAGTATCTCGACCTCTTCGAAACTAGCATGTCGGGTATACTGCCACCTCAGCTCGGAAACCTTTCAAACTTGCGACACCTTGACCTCGGTTACATGCAAGATATACACATATCAGATATCTCATGGTTAACTCATCTCCATTTCCTGGAATATGTTGACATGAGTTATATGAATCTGAGCAGCGCGGATATGTTTCTCGTGGCCAACACAATCCCATCTCTGAAAGCCCTTATTCTTGTCAACTGCTCACTTCCAAATGCAAACCAGTCGCTTACGCATGTAAACCTCACAAAACTAGAGCAGCTTGATCTCTCCAGTAATTATTTGGGCCACCGAATTGAAACATGTTGGTTCTGGAACCTAACAAGCATCAAGGAACTAACACTCGATTCAACCTATCTTTATGGTCCATTCCCTGATGTGCTAGGAGGTATGATTTCTCTCCAGCGGCTGGAATTTACCAACAACGGTAATTCAGCCACAATGACAGTGGACTTGAAAAATCTATGTGATCTAGAGAGCCTAAACCTCGATGGGAGTCTTGCGTTTGCGGACCTAACAGACTTCGTGATGAAACTGCCACAATGTTCATCCAACAAATTGCGGTTCTTGAGCTCAAATCACAACAATATGGCAGGAATGCTGCCAGATAGGGTGGGGCACTTCACCAGCTTGAAGTACCTTCACCTTTATAATAACAGCATTACTGGAGCTATACCAACTAGGTTAGTGAATTGTACTATTTTGCATTCACTCGCTCTCGGTTTGAACCAACTAAGTGGCCAGATACCAACATTGCCGAGAAGCCTCAGTGAAGTGGACCTGTCCATGAACAGCTTGTCAGGACCTTTGCCATCAGATTTTGGAGCTCCATACCTTACAGTACTAAGTCTATCCTCCAATTACATCACTGGTTACGTTCCTAGATCTATCTGTGAGTTGCAAAACCTAATTTTCTTGGATTTGTCCCAGAATAGGTTTGCGGGAGAATTTCCCAGGTGTTCTTCGATGCCAAACTTGGCATTCCTGCACTTAAGTAACAATAGCTTCTCCGGGAGTTTTCCTCCATTGCTCCAAAACTGTGCAAACTTGTTTTCCCTTGATCTTGCAATGAACGAGTTCGATGGAGCACTACCAGTATGGATCGGAGACCTAGTGAACTTGCGGTTTCTGCAGCTAAACCATAAAATGTTCTATGGGCATATTCCAGCTAACATCACAAGTCTTGTACTACTTCAACTATTCAGTTTGGCGAGCAATAATATATCAGGATCAATTCCGTCGTCCTTGTCTAAATTAATAGCTATGACCCTGAAACATCCGCCGAGACTTGAATCAATGTTGTTTAAAGGCACTCACGCGGTGGATATTTTGTCCGTTGTGATGATGAAGCAGCAAGAGCTTAAGTTCAGGGGTGATGCAGTTATTAACATGGTAAGCATTGATTTGTCACTCAACCACTTGACCGGTGAAATTCCAGATGAGATAACTTCTCTGAACGGACTGTTGAGTTTGAATTTATCATGGAATCACCTGAGCCACAAAATCCCTGTGAAGATTGGGGATATGAAATCACTGGAATCACTCGACTTGTCAAGGAACAATATCTCTGGTGAAATCCCAACAAGCCTCTCAGATTTGACATATTTAAGCTCCTTGGACTTGTCATACAACAATCTTGCAGGAAGAATTCCAACAGGCCGTCAACTGGACACTCTGTATGCAGAAGATCCGTCAATGTATGATGGCAACAGTCGCCTTTGTGGGCCTCATCTTCAAAGGAATTGCTCAGGCAACAGTCCACTGGAGCGTAGGAATCAGCAGAGAAGTGAAAATGCTTATGACCCAGTGATGTTCTTCTACATTGGGCTAACGTCCGGGTTTGTGGTCGGGCTCTGGCTTGTGTTCTGTGCTCTACTGTTCAAAAGGGCGTGGCGACATGCCTATTTTCGCCTCTTCGACAAGCTATGTCACAAGGTGTACGTGTTTGTTGTTGTTATTTGGGGCCGGATAAACACCAAGGCGACTGCAAGTTGAGTGATGTGCTAATCGAGTAATGCCGGTGGCACTCTATTGCTCTGCTCCATGGATATAACGTGAAGAAGTATTTAGCAGCTTGTACAAGTGTGTGTTTCTGTGTATATACTTGTGATATGAACTTTTTTCTTCTGGTGCATATAACTGTTATTGGTTTGTACTCGTTGGTCATGATGAACCTGGCACGTGATTTTGGTTTCCAGCTCAGTTTTGTTTCATGTCGATGGTTTGATGTTTTGTAATACTGAACTGCACTAGCAGAGTGTCCTGTACTATTTTGTGCAACTTGATATATTGTATTTGTGCGCATTAAGCATACGAATTTTCTGGTTATTTTGCTAATTCTCAGCTGGCTAATTCTAATAGATCTGAATCGTCTTAAAAGATGCATTCTAAAATGCTGTTTGGATTGGAAATGCACAACTTTAGCAAAAGCAAACATGCTAGTTTCAAGCGACTGTGTAATGTTGGCATAGGATGTGTATCAGGAAAGCGCTTACACTACCCACGAGTAAACAGAGGCGACGGCTTGTGTATCTTGTATGGCCGATGTCTCCGGAAGCATGAAGCACCGCCGCACCGTGTCTAGCTTTTCTCTGTCTCGAACCCCGACGGCATGTCCAGGCGGTGCTGGTTGCCGGTGACGAGGTCCCACACAGGAGAAGCCGGGGGTCGGAGGCGAGGCTGCGCCAGAACTTGCAGACGGAGGAGGCGCGGGGGAGGGAGGAGGACGGTTGCGGCCTTGCGGGGGGGTGATCTCGGGGGAGTAGGTCCTCGTCTCGTTGTCCAGCGGCGCCACCGAAGACGAGGACGACCGGAGACGGAGGTGGAGGCTCCTCATTGGGATTGCGTTGGGCTTGTTTCTTTTAGACAATCTTCACGGTTTTTTTTTTCAGGGGCTCTTGCGTTGGACTAGTGATACCGGTGCGAGAATGGCAGGCCCAATGTGGCAAGTAATCCCATGATGATGAGTGTAACTGTTGCGTTGGGCTGAAGTTGTGAGCCCAAAACGCACCATGAGAAGCCCATGATGAGTGCAACTGTTTTAAAGCAGTTTTTCTGTTTACATGGAACAAGGTTTCTCTGGAGTTAAAATGTTTCTCTGGAGTATACCTGGGCATGGGCATCCCGGCCCGGATGGCCCGACCCAGAAGTCACGGGCCGGGCCAGGCCTGATCATGCCATCAGGCCGGGCTTGGGCCTAGAAATTGAGCCCGACGGTTGGGCTGAGCCGGGCTCAGGCATGTGAAAAGCCAGAATATAGTCGCAGTTGGGTCGGGCCGGTCATGCCATGTTGGGATTTCTTGGGCCCGAGCCAGTCTTAGGCCTGATTTGTTAGGCCCGACGGTCAGGCCAGGCTGGGCTGTTTTGAGCATCGGGCCGACACATGCCCATCTATACTCTAGAGACTCGCACAACAATCCCTGCCTACTATTGACTTATTGCATCACATAAACATGTCAACTGGAACGAGTTGCGTGGCTGTGGATTCTTGGCAACACTCCCTACCACGGTGTAATATGGCTCGGTGCGTGTGTGCACTACTTGATCCAGATCTGGTTGAAGTCATTAAAAGCATTAGGGAACCAGATGCAAAGAGGTGGATTTTTTTTTCTCTGCTGCTAGATGCCATCCCACATGATGATTTCGTTCTTGTCATGGTCACTCTTTGGCGATCTAGCACTCCATGAGGAAGGCATTGCATGAGCAGATTTTCCAGTCTCCATTTGCTACACACAACTTTGTTAAAAGCTACATCGGGAACTAGCCGAGTGCAAACCAAAGAAATCGAAGTGATTACACCAGCACCGCGGAGTTCAGTCTTGAGATGGTTCCTGCCCCTAGCGGAGGTTGCCAAGATACAAGTTGATGGAGCTGTTTCGAAGGAATCCAATGAGGGCACTTTTAGTGCTGTCTGTCGGGATGCAACTGGCAAATACTTGAAAGCGCCTGTTGTTCGGGTGGCAAGGATAACTGATTTGGCATATGCCTTGAAGCACTGGCTTGCCGGGAGTCACTAGCGCTAGCACTGGATCTCCTCTTATCACATGTGTTGATCGCCTCCGACTACCAGGTTGTGATTAAGGATATACATAGAGACATAGGGAGCTCTTATTCAAGCATCTTGAAGGAGATTAGAACCACTGCTACCCAGTTCGAGATATGTTCCTTCATCTTCAAAGGAAGAACTACCAATGTTGAGGCTCATAGCCTCGCTAAACACGAGTTTGGGTTGGGAAGGGCGTCAGCTTTGGCTCCTTAACCCACCAGACCTTCATTGTATTCCTATGAACATTGATTGATTAATAAAGTGTGTTCAGATTAGAAAATGGTGACGTATGTGGTAAGCAATTCAAAAAAAAAGTGTTGAACATGTATTTGCCTTTGGTGTACACAACCATAAGAAAAGATATAGATGAACCAGTTTTCTTTTTTGAGGAACTGGCAATTTGCTGCCGACATATACTAAGGGGTAAATGTGATCCCATTTTGATACATGTATTTGGCTTTCGTGTACACCATCATAAGAAAGATATAGATGTATTGGTTAAAGAAAATCGTTAAAGCCATTCAGATAAATCTGCTGGAGCTAACCTCATAATTTTTGTATGATACAAACAAAAAACATCAGCTTCACAATCATGAAGATCGTGCCAAATGCTCCGAAGCTGAACCATCTCAAACAGAGACAGCGGTAGGGACTTAACAGTGTGGTAGTACACTTTCAGCTTCAAATTTACAAGTATTTTTGGTGACACTAGTAGCGCACGCGCAGCTCATCAAGTAGGAACATCCCTTATTTGCAAAAAAAAAAGAGTATGCACATCCCGGTAGCTCATAGGCATGCTTACTTACAAATGTACGAGCCAGCTAGTCACCAACAAATCGACTTTTTGATCAAATTCAGTTAGTACAGGCCTCAAGGAAGGGAATGCATATCATCTTATTAATTGGCACTTCCTTCAACCTAAAACATATGTAACAGCCATTTTTTACTCTTGATAGCATCAAGGAGTACTTTCACCACAGTGAAACAACACCACGTTCTTACCATGCCTTCTGACCCTGCATTCAATATGAAATACTCCCTCCATTCACTATTATAAGATGTTCTAATAGTACTGAAAGGAGGATGTATTAAATATCCATAGTGCCCAAAACTGAAGAAATAAGACTACACATAAAACATAGCTACAACTAGTTTGTACCAGTCAAATCATATTAGTGGCTAAACTTGCAGCCCCACGGCTAAACAGAGACGATTATATGTGCAATAACCATCACTGCGTGTATTCAGTTTTGTTTCTGCATCAACACATTCAACAACTTCAAAATCGAGGGCTCTGAAAATGAAGCATGAGCAGCAGAGATAACAACAGACAGCTTCATCATAGGGACCGCAGAGTTTGTTTAGCTAGAGAGCGGCAGAGGGTAAAACAACACTTCTGAATGTAATTCGAGTGAGATAATTCATGTCAGAACAGCTTTCCGCGTCATGAGCAACAAACAACGCATTCAACAGGACTCGCACACTGGTCATTCTGGCAGCAAACATGTCATGTCTACCATCCACAAGGAGTAATGTGATTCAGACACCTACCTGAAGCCTGATCATGCTACAAATTCAACTCATAGTAGCATCACTGCAGCAATGATACCTTTTCGACACACAAAGTTTTATCTAATAAGAATCCACAAACACGCACACACGCTCACTATAAAAAAGGGAGCGCCATGGGACAAAACATAAGCAGAGATTTAAAGTTGAACCCTCGACCTGACACAATAGGCCATAAGCAAACAATGGCACAACCCACACTTTGGCTTGCATCAACATGCTTGCTTGCGAGCATAGAAAAAACTGAACAGCGAGATTAACTGACAGGGCCAATGCTAATTATTAATCCAAACAAGTGACTGTGTCTTCATGCCAGTTGACTAGTGTCTACAGAAGACCTGGTATGCACACATACAAAATGGACGAACTTACGCAGAGGGTGGGGAGCCACTTCTTCATCTCAACCGACGGAATGCATTTCTAGATACCTGCAGAGCAATCAATTTAATCAGTCAAACCAATTTGTACAAGACATTCATGGAAAAGCTGTTAAAGTTATACCTCACAATTCTGTATGACTCAAACCGTAAACGTTGGCTTCACTAGTATTGTTGAGAAGTGCCAAAAGCTCCAATTTTGGATCCCTTCAGCAGTAACACAAATACACAATGCCAACAACACAAACATAGAGAAGCAATAGGTAATTTGTAGAATAGTGGCATGCCTAGAAATTCTAATGTCACCATCTGGTTTTTGACTACATTTGATCTTAGTAGAGGCTAAAGATGTTGGTGGTTATAATAAGTCCATTAGATGCCAATTCTGAACAGCCTAGCTTATCAAATTATTTCAAATATTCTTTGTTATCAAGGGCCTAAGAGGGGTTCATGGAGTAGAAAGGGAGAAACATCTGATTTCGAGCTCGTAGTCATACTTATGTATGAGCTTTTTTTTTGAACCGGACATTAATCCTTTCCATTGCAAACAACGGAAATACAACCAGTTCCGAATACAGAGTCAGGAAGAGGGAAAGAGGTAAGGCGAGTTCAAGCATTACCAGGAAACCCACTGACATTCGGTCGCCGTCGACCCGAACGCTGTGGGGCGAAAGCCTGGTAACACATACAATTCATGAGCATCAAGCTCCAGTACACCCATAGATATAAACAGGCCAACACCACAAAAGATCACAAGTGCAAACTAAAAGCCACTATGAAGGAAGAAGGCCCTCCCAGCAGCACGCCCGCTTTTGTTCGCTCCAAAAGCAGCAAGAGTCCACCACGTACTTTCAAGCTCCTCCAATCGGCTGGGCGGCGGCCCCGCAAAGCCTCATCAGCTGCATCATGCTGGCCCTGATCATCTTGGCACCTGATCGAAGCTTGTCGGCGTCTTCACCTTTCTGCAGTCTTGTCCAATACAAAAGAAAAGAGCACATGGAAAA